TCTCTGTGGGCTTTGTTGCTTCTGAGCTAGATGGCTGCTTGTTTGCCTTCAAGCCTTTAAGATGTTTTATGGTTTTTGAGTAAACTGTTTGGCCATTTTCATTATATATAATCATAGATGTACTATCTATCTAACACTATTATACTCTATTTCTTCTTTTACCATTCATCTATAATGCTCTAACAAAAAAGATAAATTAATGAAAGAACTGATATCAGATTTATATCATATCTTCTAAGTACTCCCTGTCAGTAGAGATGCATCATCATTCCGTCTTGTCCCGAGTTCTTCTAAGTCCAGACACTTTGGCAGCACTTCCTAAATTGCCTTTGAGTCTTTTTCTTCCTCTCTTTTTCTTCCACCTCTGCCCCAGCTTAACCTGCTCCCTATCTGTGCATGTATTTTGGCCTAGCTTTCTAATTGTTCTGTGTTTAACTCTTCCCTTACCCAATTCACCAACATCATCACATTTAAAATTCAAAATTCTCTGAGTAATGTCCTTCCTAAACTGTGCCATGGCATCTTTCTGTGCCAAAGTGGGGGGAGGGGAGCTTTCCATAATCCAGCCCCTTCCCACTTATTTTTCCCATTCTCACCCTTGCTCTTTAAATTCCAAGTGTTGAATTGGTCTTTCTACCCCATTTTGATTTATCATTTTCTTATCTCTATGCCTTTATTCATGCTGCATTCTCTACTTATTTGTAACTTACCCTTCAACAAAGTGGTAATAGAAAGTATGTTTGAAGAGGAACACTAAATATTTGTTTTCTGTCTTTGAAAAAGTAACTGAATCTAATATGCTTTGCTTTTTTTGTATTGCTTTGTTTTAAGGGATGTTATTGGCTGGTTTTACTCTCAGGAATATTCCATTCATAAGTCAATATATCTCCATTAATAGCACATGGTCTTCAAATTTAAGAAACACTGCTCTTACCATTATCCTAATACGAGCTGGGCTTGGACTGGACCCACAGGTAGATTTTCAAATATAATTTGAATCAAGTTATTTTTAATGTAGAGTATAGTGGAAAAGAAAACAAGGCAGAATTTTTGTCATATTTGCTTCAATTGACATCTGTAATAAACTAGGATTAATTTATTAACAAATATTCTGCAAAGATATTAGCATAGTAATTTATGATCACCATTATTAATAATATTAAGAGAAATCACTATGATATAATGTCTCTATTTGAAATGATCTTTAGTTATTTGCTTAACGATAAATATTACTCATGTAAGACTTGAATTATTTGCAAACTTATGGCTCTTCTATGGAGAATTATTTACCTTTCAGTTAGCAAAAGATAAGGTTATTCTGAAAAGTTATTTTTCTTTAGGGAGAATAAGAATTTCAAAAATATTTTGTTTCATGAATTTTTATCCACAGAATTACATTGCTTATCATTTTTGCATAATTTTAAAAGGAAATATTTTAACATATTCCTTAAAATTCTTTGACCTAGCAATGGCTAATCAATTGAGGTTTTTAAAAGATGACTGTATGAATATAAAAACTACTAAAATGAATATGGTAAATGTAGAGATTTAATTTAAATAATAGCATAAAATTAAAAATAAAATAAAAGCATAAACAATTATAGCCAATGACAATTTATTATATTCTCACTTAGAAAGTTTAGATCCATGAGAAAATATTTTTACAGTTATCTCTTTTCACTTATTTTAGTTTTTAAAGTTATTTTCTTTTTGGTCATTCTGATAGTTCCTATTTATAATTATTCACTTAAATAATTTATCTCTAAAAGTTAACTAATGGAAATAAAACTACTGTCACTATCCTAGTAGCTAGGAAGATTAAATTAGAAATAATTATATGCTCACAAATAAATAGATCTTTTTAAGTAATGAAAATACAATAAATAAAATGTTGGTTTATTTTTCCTTTTATTGTAAATTAGGTGAAGGCTTCCAGAGCAGGTCATAATTTTATATTCAGCAATTAATACAACAATGTTTTATAAATGTGATTTTTTTTGGTAATCCAATCTATGATAATATATGAAATGGGCTATCGTAGAGTTAGAAGTCCAAAAGAACAACCTGGTTGATGAAATATTGTTAGTGAAAAAACATGTTAACAATATAGTTCAGTATCAATATAAACATAAGTAACAAAACATTTGGTAAGAAGTAGTTCTTTAGGTCTGGAAATATTTTTTTGTAAATTTCTTGTGAGTCATGGTAAATTTATCTAAATGTGACTGTTTTTATATTTCAGGCTTTGAAGCATTTGAAAAATGTATGTTTCCGGTTGTCTATTGGCCCATGCATTATAGAGGCATGTGCAGCTGCTATTTTTTCCCACTTCATTATGAAGTTTCCCTGGAAATGGGCATTTCTATTAGGGTAACGCTTTCTTGGTTTCTTATCTGAAAATATTCAGCTGTTCGGTTTAAAATTATTGAATGATTTAGAATATTGTGTGTACATTTCATTCAAACTCTTTTCACAGTGATGGAAACCCTTAGAATCAGTAGACTAGAAACAAAGCCTACCCCCAATCTACCATATCTTCACATGAACATCTAGTTCATACATGTATAGAGTAGCAAGATAATTTACTTCTTCAATGTATTCCCTATTTCCCATATTATAATCAATCCTTATTTAGTGTTAACCAATCCAAATGTCTTTTCCTCATATACTTTTTGTTTATACACACACACACACACACACATATATACCGGAGGATACATAAAAAGGATTGCTACAAAATCATAGCAACCTTTATTAAACATAAGTATCAAAATGTGAGGGAGCTCTCCTGGTGTGGTGATTACGCATTTGGACTGTGATCCACAATGTGGCCAGTTTGAAACCCCCAGCAGCAGGGAAAGACTGGGCTTTCTACTCCTGTTAACAGTACAGTCTGGGAAACCACAGGGGTCACCATGAGTCAGCACGCTGGATGGCAGTTGGTTTGTTTAGCAGAATCTCTGCAGACAAATTCTCTCAGTAATACACTTGTCTTATAACCAAGGGTGGTTCCTACACACACACACACACACACACACACACACACACACACACACACGGTCTAATCCAGATAGTGACTTCCAAAAGAATCTGCTGCACCAGTCAAATTCAAGGCAGAGAGGCCTGTGTGTGTGCATTGTTTGTTGTTCTGAGTCCAGTCCGACTCATAATGGCCCTATGTAAAACAGGACAAACCCTTGCCCAGTCCTGCTCCATCTTCACGATTGTCCTTATGTGGGGCCCATTGTTGCAATGTGTCAGTTGATCTCCTCTCGGGTTTTCCTCTTTTTTGCTGCCCCTCCATTTCACCAAGCACGATGTCCTTCTTCAGGGACCCTCCTGATAACATGGCCAAGGTTTGTGAGAGCAAGTCTCACTTCCTTTCCTCTAAGGAGCATTTTGACAGTACTTCTTCCCAAACTGTTTTCTTTGTTCTTTTGGCAGCTCGTGGTACCTTCAAAATTCTTCGCCAGCATCATATTCAAATGCATCGACTTTTCTTCCATTGTCCTTACTCAATGTCCAACATTCGCAGACATAGAAGGCAATTAAAAATGCCATGGCTTGTGTCGGGAGCACCTGAATCCATAAAGGAACATCCAAACTTTTCAAGGCTTTAAAAAGACATCTTATGGAGCCTATTTTCCCCATACAATGCTTTATTTGATATCTTCACTGCTGCTTCCATGAGTACTGATTGTGGATCCAACAAGACAAAATCCTTGACAACTTCAATCTTTTCTCCACTTATCATGATGCTATCTATTGGTCCAATATTGTGAGGATTTTGGTCTTCTTAAAATGAGTTTAAATCCCTACTGAAGGGTATAATCCTTGGTCTTCATCAGCAAGTGCTTCAACTCCTCTTGACTTTCAGCAAGGAAAGTTGTGTCATCTGCATAGCACAGGTTGTTAATCAGCTTTCCTCTGATCCTGATGTCACATTCGACTCCACATAATCCAACTACTCTGATTACTTGCTCAGCATACAGATTTTAAAAGTATGAGAGGATATAGCCACGATTCATACCTTTCCTGATTGTAAACCATGCAATCAATATTCCTTTGATCTGTTCCCACAACTGCTTCTTTATCCACATGTTCTGCATGAGTACAATGAAGTGTTCTGGAATTCCCATTCTTCTCAAGGTTATCCATAGTTTGTTAGAGTCCACACAGTTTAATGCCTTTTCATAGTCAATGAAACACAAGTAAACATCTTTATGGTATTCTTTGCCTTGAGTCAAGATTCATCTGAGATCAGCATGATATCCTTTGTTTTCAAATCCTCTTTTGAATCCAGCCTGAACTTGTGGCAACTCCCTGTCAATGTACTACTACAACGATTGATGGATGCTCTTCAGCAAAATTTGACTTGCAGGTAATATCAATGATATTGCTCTAGAATTTGAGCATTCTTGTTGGGGCACCTTTCTTTGGAATGGGTACAAATCTGGATCCCTTCCAGTCAGTTAGCCAAGTATCTGTCTTCCAAATTCCCTGGCATAGGCGAGTGAGTGCTTCCAGTGCTTCATCAGTGCTTCTCAGACCATCAAACTCCAAACTCCAACTCACTGTAACTGAGTGAGTGCCTTCTGGCATTTGGGCAGAAGGCTTGCTGGTAGAATGGGATGCCTCTAGACCCTTTATCGAGGTTGGGCAGCTAGGTTTGCCAGCACATGAAGCTGCTAGAGTTTAGTGCTTTGGGGCTGAGATTTATGGTGAAATGAGCTTTTATCACCAGAGCTGTTTATCATACTCGCCCAAGCAGAGCTTAAAAGCCAAGGCCCTGCCTGTGGGTATTGCTGAGAGGAGGCTCTTCTGACTGAATAAGTGTATCCTGAGCATTTCAGATCCTGAATTGTAACCTGTTAAATTCTCTAGTAAACCTCATACTTGGGAATATTGTTTTTGAGTTCTGTGTGGACATTAAAACCAACTGTCAGACCCAGCAGAGAAATAGTGGGTAACCTGGGCAAAAAAAAGGGTTGTTACTAGAATTGGTAGAAAGATCAGAGGGTGAAGAAGGCGTGTCTGACCTCCACTGCATAGGAATCATCCACAGATGGATACTGCTGATGGCAATTCTCTCTTCCCCTGTGAAGTTAGAGGAGATTGGGTACCACTTCCACACCACTTTTGCAGAATGTTTATTATGCTTATTTTAAGTTATTGATCCATCTCTTCTAATACTTTGACACCTGATGAAATTTTTATCTTTGACTATGTATATTTCAGTTATTAGCTCACAAAGGTCCATGCTTATTATATCATCCTAGTTAATTTTTCAATCAGATAGTATTTTCTCATTTTAGTGTTTTATCCATCCTCATTATTCTTTGTCAAACATTAGCATTACTCTCTGTGTTTTGTTTTGTACACTCTTATTTGCACTGAAATTCTCCACCATTGAACTTTTTAACTTCTTTATTAAAGTAAAATTCACATATAGAAAAGTATAAAACAAGCATACAATTTATTGGAGCAACAAAAAGTGGATACTTATGTAGCTACAACCCAGATAAAGAAATGGAATATTTCCAGCAGCCCCAAAGGGCCTGTGTTCTCTCCTAATCACCGTCCTTCCTCCCTTCACTGCCAGAATAGCCCCTACCTGAACTTTCAGTGTGTAGTGTATGAGTCAAGTCCTACAGTGTATCTTCTTTTGTGTATATGCTGTGCATGTATTCCTCTTTTACTTCATATTATATTTAAGATTCATCCAAATGTAGTGTTGTGTGTAAATGTAGTTTTCCATTTCATTGTTGTATGGTATACCAGTGTATAAATATACATGTACTTAACTTATCTATTTTGTATAAATATGCTATAAATATATTGTACATTTTATAAATATATTATATTTTTTATTATCTATTGTATTGTCAGCAGGTATTCAAAGTTTTTCCATTGAGGCTCATTATCAATAAGGCTTTTATGAATATTCTTGTATGTAGGTCCTAATACACCTGTGCATAGATATGTAATTATGAATGGAATTGTTGGGTTATCAAAACAAACTACTGCCATCAAATAGATTTTCTACTCCTAGTGACCCACTGGACATAGTAAAAGTCCCTCATAGGGCTTCTAAGGTGCGTGTCTTTCCAGAAGCACACCGGAGCATCTTTCTCCTGTAGAGCAGCTGGGGAGCTCAAACCACCCACCTTTTCCGTAGCACGTGAGCTCTCACACATGTGGCTTCTTGTCCGTGTGAGTTCTGCCCTTGTGTTTAAGCTGGGTTACAGATTTTCCTATTATTTCTTATATTATCTCTCTTTAGAGGCTTTAGGGATAGGAGAGGCTGCATTTGTGCTCAGCCCAACCTCTTGAGCCATATTTCTTTAAGATTCCAACCAGCACTAAAGAATGCATGGAAAATTGTATCATTCATTAAATGGCATGAGCTCACAAGCAGAAGTTTTGTATTTGAAGTTATTGTAAAGGTTATTGTATTTCTTGTACAGTTGACTATAAGTTGCTGTTTGGATAAGAGGAATTTTTTGGCTTCATTAGTCATCTTTCTTTCAGTTTTGTAGTAGGTGCTGTCTCTCCCGCTGTTGTTGTCCCTTCCATGCTGTTTTTGCAAGATAATGGATACGGGATTGAGAAAGGCATTCCCACCTTACTGATAGCCGCGAGTAGTCTGGATGACATCTTGGCCATCACTGGATTCAATGCATGCATGAGCATTGTCTTCACCTCCGGTAAATGTAACAATACAGCCACCACCACATCCTTCATGTCCCTTCTTTTAGCGCTTTGACTATGGTTTCTGGTTTTCTATCTTAATTTACATACCTAAATAAAGGGCAAAAAGAAAGCACTATTTGACAAACATAATTTTTTATTAACCATGTGTTTCAATTAATAGTTATCACTATATTCTCATACCCTTTTCTAATTTTATAGTTTTCATTAGAAACATTTTAGCTGCAATGTCAGTAGTACTACTAATATTTCTAAGGGCTATTTTAAAAATCATCCTTTTTGGCCATCCTTGTGAGCTCTATTTGTTAAGACAGCTCTATTTGTTAAGGCTACCTAAATACATGAGGGAGTTTCAAAAGTTTAATAGAAAAATGTCTTTATTGAACGCCATTGTTCCAGGAATTTTTAAAGCCCCCTCATCTAGATACATAGAACTCAGAAAACTATATACATTTTTGGTAGTGGCAGACAACATTTTATACCACTTCTGCCTTCCACTGCCATAAAGTCAAGTCCAGCTCACAGTGACCCAGAGGACTGAATAGAACTGTCCTGTGAGGTTTCCAAGACTATAAATCTTTATGGAAGTCAATTACCATCTTTCTCTCTCTCTCTCTTCTTTCTTTTTTTTTTTTTTTAAACATTTTATTAGGGGCTCATACAACTGTTATCGCAATCCATACACACATCAATTGTGTAAAGCGCATTTGTACATCATTCTCAAAACATTTTCTCTCCACTTAAACCCCCGACATTAGGTCCTCATCTCTTCTTTCTTTCTCTCTCTCTCTCTCTTTCTTTCTTCTTGCCACATCTTTCTCCTGAAGAACAGCTGGTTAGTTGGAACCACCAATCTTTGGGTTAGCAATTGAGTGTTTAACCTCTGTGCCACTAGAGATCCTTTTACAAGAAACCAAACCTAATTACAAGAGACCCAAAGAAAGTGACGGAAAAACAAAACAAAACAAGAAAATACATGCTTAGATAATTCTTTCCAATCTCATGACTATCTACAATGGTCCTTAAGATGTTTAAGGGCTTTTAATGTTTTGTTTTATATATTGGTTATTTCATATGTCTGTACTTTGAAATATGGTAGGAATAGAAATCTGAGTTTATTTTCAGGCAACTAGTTAGTCAGTAATTCCAATTCTGTTGTGGAGTACTACATCTTTCTCCAATTAATGAAATATAATCTTTATCATATTAAAACTCCTATAAATGCTGGGTTAATTTATTTCTCTATTTAAATGTTTATTGAAATACCTGGTTAAGACAAGAACATAACTGAACTTTCTTTGATGACTCAGTCGCATGCTGTAAGTGCCTCTGAGTCTATATTAACTCAGAGCGGCTTCCTGCGACACAGCAGACCTGACCTGGAGGGTAGTCTAGGCAGGTCAGGCATCAGGAAGGCTGCTAACCCCAAGAAAGAAGGTTCAAACCCATCAGCAACTTTACTGGAAAAAGACGCTATCTGCTCCCATGTGATTTCCTCTCAACTATTTGCTTAGGCCTGAACCTTTACGGGACTAGGTTTTTGGGTCTTTCACTCACAAAACTGCTGAGTGAATTCAAACCGGCAGCATTTCTGTTGACAGTGGAGTACTTGACCACTGCGCCACCAGGGATCCTAGTTCCTTAGAGTGACTTACAAATGTACTGAAACCTGAGTTGACTGACCCATGGACTAAAACAATAATTGACATTAGAATAGATATCTTTGCAGTGGTGGTTGTTAAATTGTTCTTTTAAAAAAATCATGTTTTTAGTTCATAATAAAGCATCAAAATGTCCTCAGAGAAGATACTATTACAGAGATCTTACCAGTCATGTTCTGTGCACCAAAGCGGTTCCCCTATCAGTCCCCAACTCTTCTACCTCACCTGCTATTTTAGGTTGTCTATGGAAGAGCACCATGCCACTTGCTAATTATTTCTGCTTTCTGTCATATTTGTACAATGGGTATGTCTAGTTTTATGTATATATAGAATGAGCTGAGAGTACATATTCATCCAACAGATTTACTTGTGTTTTTACATATGTGCTTATTAACTAATAACATTAAATATTTTTAATATGTGTACTATAAAGGAATCCCTGGTGGCATGTTGGTTGTGAGTCCAGCTGTGATCTGCAAGGTCGACAGTTCAAAACCACCAGCCACTTCAAGGGAGAGAGACGGGGCTGTCTACTCCCATAAAGAGTGAGAATCCTGGGAACTCACAGGGGCAGTCCTACCCTGTCCGTGGGGTCGCTGTGAGTCAGCATCCACTCAAGGGCAGTGAGAGTACTATAAATGTTTGGCCTGCTTCCTGGGCCACCAGGATATGGTTTTCCCATGTGTTTGTAAGAACGGTTCTCTGTAAAATCTTTTCCTTACTTTGTGCCCTTGCAGGTAATATATTCCATCATCTCCTCCTTTCCTTGATGGAGGTGTTTGTTGGTGTGGTGCTAGGAGCTCTTTTGGGATTTTTTATTCAATATTTTCCAAGTAAAGACCAGGTAAATAGAAAATTATTCTGCTTTAGAAGTATAGCACCTATGGCAAATTGTAGCTGTAGACTACATATGGGAAAGTACATATAGTACAAATGGGAAAGTGCATGGAATATACATTTTCATTTTAAGAACGCTATGCCCAAAGGGAGCCCCTGCTCTGCTTACAGCTGATGCTTAGCGTTGCGAAGGGCCCAGGTCATTGACCCTAGTTGAGAGTTTTGCTTCCTGGTTTAGTAAATGAAGAATTTCAGAAAAATGCACTTAACTAAAATATCCCCTTTCCACTCCACTCTACTCCTTTCTCCATCATGATACCTGTTGACTCCTGGCAACTATTCCTGATCTTTTTCCTCAGAAAACTTGTCCTCAAACTTTTGGAGGGAAATAGTGCCCAATTATCTCTGGGTATTTTCTTAGATTCCCCTATGCATCATACTATATGCATCATAGAGTTCATTCTGACTCATAGTGACGGTACATAGCGTTTCTGAGACTATACATCTTTATGGGAGCTTCTTCCAGCAGAGCAGCAGATGGAGCTTGAACTCCCCATTACAGTTGGCAACCCAACACCTAACTCTCAGTGCCACCAGTTCTCCCCTAGAGTACCCCGGGGACCAGATCACCCTGACTCCCCAGCCCTTTAACGAAGACATCCAACCCTTTCCTACCCTATAGGACTTGCCATTGCTCCTGTATTTCTATAACTTCCATCCTCATTTCCCTGTAACAGTCCTTATAAACTAGGGACATACTCATAAATTTGTTTTTAATATTTCATTGACTATGATATATGGTTATGAGTCTTTCACTTTTTTATTTATAATGAGAGTATTATAACTAGTCTACAAAACTTAAGCACCAGAATTTTAACACAAGATGAAAATAATTGTAAATTTTGTTACTTGGTAGCAAATCTATTATAAAATGTTAGAACACATAATATAAAAATTCTGGAAATTACTTATTTCTTTAGAATTGGTCCATAGATTTTATTGGCTGTAATCTTTACAGTAGCAGGTGGTCAGGATTTCTTTTTTTTTTTGTATCGGCAACTGTTATGGGTTGTTATGACATTGGATGAGTACATGGGGTCCCCATTCTTCAGAATCAACTTGAAATATTTCCATTCCTGGGAATGGAAATGTTTTGCATATCACACCAACACAGTGAGAGTAATGATTCAGTAGCATGAACTAATTTTAAAATACAGTTTAGTTATTGCTCATATATGTTGAAAGTGTATTCATTTGCATGGGATTGAACATGTATTGTTTGATAGGCACCACATCCAATCCCAATCAAAACCATATCAAACCCCAAACCCACTGCTGTCAAGACAGTTCTAACTTACGTCAATTCTACCAGGCCATAGTGTTTGCTTGGTGAAATATATATATTAATATATGTTAATATATTTTCATATATATTAAAGATAACTTGGGGGGGGTCTCTTCCAACTCTTAAAAAAAATTATACATCAATAGTATCAAGTATATTTGTGCATATGTTGCCGTCATTCTTTTCTAGACATTTACTTTCTATTGAGCCCTCTTTTTTCCCTCCCCCCCACACCTTCATAACACCTTGATAAATTACAAATTATTATTATTTTCTTACACCGACTGCTGTCTTCCTTCCCCCATGGTTTCTTTTATTCGTATCCCTGAAGGGGGTGGTATGTGGTTATGTGTCGATCATTGTGATTGGCTCCCCCTTTTTCCCCTCCTCTCCGCACCTTCCCCCTACCCTCCTGGTATCACTATTCACATTCCTATTTCTGGTTTCCATGTGTTGTGAGCTCTATCTCTTATTTGTACCTGTGCACATGCTCCGGTCTAGCGCGCAGTAAAAGGCAGCACTGGGGTTATGATAGTGGTGCATGAGGAAGCCTCAAGGAATCAGAGGAGTATTGTGTGTTTCATCAATGCTTTACTGCGCCCTGGTGACTCATCCCTTCCCTGTGACCCTGCTGTAGGGGGATGTTCCATTGTCTACAGACGGACTTTGGGTCTGGAAGTTATTTAATGTAATCTTCTGAGCCACGGTGTTAATGGGTCAGAAATAAGCATTTGGTAAGGTCAAATCTTCTATTCAACATTTCTTGTCTGTCTAATTCTAGGCAAGCGTTCCGTGGAAGAGAGCGTGCCTTATTTTGCTTATGTGTGTTTCCGCTGTCTTGGGCAGCCACCGCGTAGGTTTACATGGCATTGGAGGCTTGTGCACACTCGTGTTGACCTTCCTGTCAGGGATTTCTTGGTCCAGAGAAAAGGTAAATATTTTAGCTGCATCAATTCACGTTTAGAAGTAAAATAACTGTCTTTTTTTACACCTGAATTCACTAGTTACAAAATCCCTGCGTTCTATGTTTAAGATGTCCTAGAACTTTATCTGACTTTGATGGGAGGTTATGAATCATCCAAGTAAATACAATGTATAATAAAAACCTGGAAATACGCTACTGTGCAATATGCCATTGAATTATTTTATCAGGTTTTTCTCAAATTTTCCCAAAGTGTATTAAGATGATTATGTAACTTTTATTAACTACGTTATTTCATACATTAAAATTTTAGTTCTATGATTGGTAAGTTTATAAGCAATAGAAATAGTACAGGAGGGCCACGCATACAGTAAACTGGAAAAGATGCCTTTATTCCCCTCACTCACAGATATCAAGCCTCCTCCCCAGAATTCGTCATTTGTGCTAGCCAATCCGCTTCATCTAGAAAGTTGGGTTCAGGAGTCGTAATAATGCTACCATGCACTGTTTTCTTCATGTGACTTTCTGAATCTGTGCAAGTGCTTTTGATGAATAGATTCTGAGAAATGGAAATATTGAGTTAAGAAATTATACATTTTTATTTTGATGGCTACTACCAAAATCGCTTTTGAAAAGATGTTGTTAATTATCAACCTTACATCTCAAACAATCACCCACAAGGGACATTTATCACTTGTGTTTGCTTTGGTGTGGTGGAGGTGTTTAATATGATCACTAAGTAATGATATGACAGTTACTCTTTATTTACATTTCTGTGATTACTAGCAGAGTAATTTTCTGGACAAATAGATCATGATTGGTCAAGTAGAGGGTTACCAAAAGAGAAGCCCCTCCCCAAGGTGGAGTGACACAGTGGCTACAAGGGCCTGACCCCTAACAGCAGTGGTGGAGATGGTGAACGACTAGGCGGTGTTTTGTTCTGCTGTGTCCATACCGTTGCTATAAGTCTGAAAGGACACAATAGCATCTAAAAACAAGAATTCTCTGATTCACATATATATATGTATGTGTGGTTTTATATCTCTACTGTTTCATAAAGAAAGAAAGAAGCCCAGTCTAAAACTAAATTTCTCCCTGACAATTCCTGGAGAAAGGCATCTGATTGGCCTCTGGTCAATGTACACGGAAGGCCGAGGAGAACAGCCTGAGTCCTCTTACGTCAGGAGGGGACTTTCCTACACAGGTAAAGATAGAACATGGAAGTGGGCTTGTAAAACAAAGGGAAGTTGAGCAGGTAATCTCGTAAGAATCTCATATCTTTTTCATTTGAATTTAAGAAATCCATAGCTTTAAAGTTCTAAATAGGGTCCTCTTGGAAGTAGGCGCACAAGACTACTATTAAAAAAATGGGTGGGGGGGGGGGCGCCTCATGGTTTACAACATATCAAAAGTTTCAGGATGATTGTTAGTGGAGGTCTCCCTAACGCCTTTCTGAGATGTTGTCATGAGTTTGATACGTTCTCATCAGGTACGCAGGGGCTCGCTCTCTATGCAGTCACCTGACCGCCAGCAACAAGAACTCGTAACACCAGAGCGTGTCAGGACCTCCAACATTCCTTGAGAACAAACTAGTCTGCTTGCTCTGTGACAAATATGCCACACGATACTGTTTGTTTCATAGCTTGGTGAATTTCTGTGAGTCAAATTATAATCAGTGCTTAATAAAGAGTTAACTACAATTTTCATGTAGTAATATTCTAAAAATATTGTCATGAAATGTTAAAACAGACTTTAACTTTCTAAAATACCATTTTTTCAATAATTTATTTTCACTGTTATTGTTAAATATATATACAACTGACCATACACCTATCTAGCACTTTCTTCCCCATGCATTCATGGGCACAGGTTCCAGTCTCCCAGTTGGGCAGCTATTGTCTTTCAGAAGCATTCTTTCCATTAATAGGAAACCACTGCCCACTAATCTTTCATTTTCTTTGTCCCTTAGGTTTCCAGTCTAACTTTTCCAGTTGCTGTGTTTAGTATTGATTAAGAGTAATAGTTGCACAACAGATTAATATTGTTAATGTCAAAAAATAAAAGGTTGAGCTGGCAAATGTGTGATATATATTTCAAAGATTCACTGCCATTGAGTCTACTCTAACTAGAGCCTACAGGATAGAGTATAACTACCCTTTGGGGTTTCTAAGGCTATAAATCTTGATGGGAACCAAAAACTTATGAACAATCAAACACGTCGTGGGATTTGAATCCTTGGTTTGGAGGTAAAGCCCCATGGCTATTTTCTAGGTCACAGGCCTATTATCATGTCAAGTGCTTCTTTTCTACCTTCTAGGTCTTCACATAGTTCCTGGGGTCTTAAGAGCATAGAAGCAGCCATCTGAGGCACAACAATTGGTTTCTGTTGGCCTAGAGCAGTGGTTCTCAACCTTCTTAACGCTGCGACACTTTAATAGAGTTACTCATGTTGTGGTGACCCCCCCCAACCATAAAATTATTTTCATTGCTACTTCATAACTGTCATTTTACTACTGTTAAGAATCGTAATGTAAATATCTGATATGCAAGATGCATATGCAAGGCGACTTCTGTGAAAGGGCCATTTGACCCCCAAAGGGGTTGCGATCCACAGGTTGAGAACCACTGGCCTAGAGCAACAGAGGAAGAAGGAGTTTCAGGAGTAGTAGGAGGAAATAAAATGCATGGCTAGTTTCCTGAATGAACAGCTACTTCCTTTCCCATGAGACCAGAAGAACTGGATGGTGCCTGGCTTCCATTACTAAGCATTTTGATCAAAGATTCCACAGAAGAAACTGGATCAAAATGAAGAACAGAATTTCAAATTCTCATGGAATCTATATTCTCTGGAGCCATTGACAAACCCTCAGAACTATTGTCCCATGATCATCTTTAAACCTTAAACCCCTGTAGTTCTTTAAACCAAACACCAGCCACTAAACCCATTGCCATCTAGTTGATTCTGACTCATAGCAGACCTAACGGACAGAGTAGAACTGCCCCTGTGGGTTTCTGAGGCTGCAGATCGTTACAGAAGCAGAAAACCTCACCTTTCTCCTGCTGAGCAACTGCAGTTAGTTATCCGACTGCACCATCAAGACTCCTACTGTTGCTCAATTAGTGAAATGCAATTCTTTTTATGTATGACACTATATTTCTTTCTGATAGATTAGAGTCCAAAAAATCATTGCATCTCTGTGGAATGTTTTTCAACCTCTTCTCTTTGGCTTGGTTGGATCAGAAGTGTCTGTGTCATCTCTTCCATCAAATGCTATTGGTAAGAATAATTAGAGGCATTAAAAATTCAAATATGAGAATCCTTAGGGAAACAATGAATTTTAAAATTATTTGCAATATATTTTCTAAGAAATACAATGAGCTTCTGCAGCAACTCATATTGATATAGAACATATACTTCCCCTTCCTTCCTCGGTAGTCTTTATTACCAAAGACAGCCCTGAATGTCTTACTTGAATGACCTAGGAAAATAGAGATAAAATATCCTCTGTGCTGAATCATTAGGTATCATCAGAACCGTTTGAATACTTTCATCTATATTAAAAAGTCAGCCTATTACCAATCATCTGTCTTATTTTTCATGGTACTACTGCCATCAGATAATCTCAATCATATTAATAATTTTTATAATTTCTCTTTACTTAAAAAAGATACAATAAGACATTGTGCTTTCAAACGTTTTACAAATAATATATCTAGACCTAAAGAACTACTTCATACTGAACATCTTGTTACTTACATTTATTTTTTATGTTGTAGGTGTTTGTGTTGCTACCTTGAGTTTGGCACTATTGGTGCGAATTTTTGCCACATTTTTATTGATGTGTTTTACTGGTTTTAATGTCAAGGAAAAAATATTTATTGCTTTAGCCTGGATGCCCAAAGCTACAGTCCAGGTGAGAATGTACTAACTCATTCTAATAATTTTCATTTTTTAATCATTTTTTTTTAATTCTAAATGAAAATGTTATTTCAGTCACAAAGTCTGATCTCATAACCTTGCTTTTTAAATGTTCCATTGATCATACAAAAAACCATTTCCTCCTCATAGCAACCCTCGAGGACAGGGCAGAACTGCCCCCTATGAGTTTTTGAGACTGTAACTCTTTATGGGTGTAGACAGCCTCATCTTACTCTCAGGGAGTGGCTGGTGGTTTCAAAATGCTGACCTTGTGGTTAGCAGCCCAGTATGTAACCACTATGCAACCAGGGATCCTTCATTGATCATAAATAGTAAGTAAAATTAATGACATCGTCTAAAACCTCAGTTTTAAGAGCAATTTTCTGAAATCAAAAGGTGAACAGTAATGTTATCATTCATGGATTCCACATTTACAAATCTCCTACTTGCTTTTGTTTATAATTTCAAAAGTAAAACTCCTGGTACTTTCAGTCCTTGCCAGCCCATGTAAAGTGGCAAAAAAAACCTGAGTCTTCTGACCCATAACTGAGTTCAAACTAGGTTACACTGCATTTTTGCTTCAGCTCCCATACTGTCAACATGGCTCCTATACTTGTTGTTGTTCTTCTTGTTGTTAGGCGACGTCAAGTCGATGCTAACTCCCAGCAATCCCATGTCAACAGAATGCAACCTTACCATTGTTTTTATGTTTGAGCCTGTGGTGCAGCCACATCTTGTCAAGGGTCTTCCTCTCTTTCACCAGTCAGGATGTCCTTTTCCAGGGACTGGGTTCTCCATCTAAACTGTAGTGACCGATATGCAACAGAATGAAACACCACCTGCTCCTTTTCTAAGTCTGTTTAAAAATGCCCTGCCATCAAATCAATTCTGACTCGGAGACTGTAAGACAGAGTAGAACTGCCTCTGTGAATTTCTGAGACTATTCGTATAAATTTTTATAATAGTAGAAAACCTTATTTCTCTCCCACTCAATCTTAATCAGTCTGTTTAGTGCCACATCTTTTTCACAGTTTTGTGTGCGTTTTTTGTTGATGATTTTGCCTATTTAAAATGGCCCCTCAGCACAGTGCCGAAGTGCTATCTAATCCCCAAAAGGCCATATTGTGCCTTTAGAAGAAAATTAATGCTAGGTCATTTTTGTTCAGGCATTATGGCCTGTTGGCCATGAGTTTAAGTTAATGAATGAACAAAGTATAATAAGTGTGGTATCTTAAGCACACATAAAATAAGTTATGTATTGATCAGTTGACAAAAATGTCACCGAGGCTCACAGGAACCTCACCTAGCTGCTACTTCCCAGGAGCAGTGGATCGGCATCGCTGACAAAGGCACAAGTACCATCAACAGCAAGGCGCGGTTGTTACTATTGTTGCTCGGTGCCTTCCAGTGGATTCCAACCCCTCACGACCCCATGGGGATTGGGTCTTTCCGGATAACCTGTCGGAAGTATGAAGTCTCATCCACTTTGCTTCCGAGAAGTATTCTGGCTGGACTTCTTCCAAGACAGCATTGTTTGTTCTTTTGGCGCTCGGTCACACGTGCGATATTCTTTGCTAGCGCCGCAAGTCAAACGCATGGATTCTTCGTCAGTCTTCCTTATTCAAGGGCCCACTTTCTCAGGCATAAGAGGCGATTGGAAATCCTCTGGTGACCTCAGTCTTCAAAGTAACAGCTTTGCTTTTCAATATTTCAAAGAGGTCTCTCCCAGCAGATTTGCCCCGTGCAATGTGTCCTTTGATCGCTTGACTGCTGCTTCCATGAGTGTTGGTTGTAGACCCAAGCAAAAGAACTTTTTGATAACTTTGATCTTTTCCCTGTTTATCATGATGTTGTCTATTGGTCCAGTAGTGAGGATTTTGGTTTTCTGTACACTGAGTTGCAATCTATATTAAAGACTGCAGTCCTTGATCTTTATCAGCAAGTGCTTCAAACCCTCCTCACTTTCATCATGAAAGGTTGTTTCATCGGCAAATCGCAGGTTGTTCATAAATCTTTCTTCAACACTGATGCTGCACTCTGCTTTGTGGGGAACAGAAGGATTTCTCTTAAGTTGTCTCCCCAAAATATATGCCAGATTTAGCTTGAGAATGACTGTTCACTAGGCGGTCAGTGAAAGTAGGTCAGAGGTTATTCTCCTTAACATCAGCCATCAAGAGTGGATTGGGAGTCATTCTCACTGAGAGGTATCAGCTGTCTAGATCAAGCAGACACCACTGTTTATCCCACAACAAATAGGGCCCATTCCTTTCTGTTATTGTTCCCTTGAAGCAGTGCCCATAGGCAAGCCCGGGACCACTCTAAGATGACTAAGCTTAGGCTACTATCATGGCACACATGCCCCCCTATTCTCTCCTCTTACTATTGCACGTTCACCCCTAAGTCATCCCCCTCCTATTGCTTGTATTGCCTATGTTACAACCCCTCTCTATGACGTAGTTGTTATCTGCTATCAGGGGGCTTGCATGCCTCCCAGGATAGTAATTGTCTGTTTTATTGTATGAGACACCAGAGTGATCAAACTTGTTCTAGGATGAATTGTATTGCCCCTTCCTGTGATGTATGACTCTGTAATCAGATCCCCCTAAAGTGATATGATGCTGTGGCTAGCAATAAATAATGAGGCTTCCTGGTTCTCAGGAGGGTAGCTGGCAAAGGGTGGCTGGCTGAGAGGTGGCTGAGGAGGATGAGGCAGCGGCTTCTTCTCTGATGGCTAAGCCCCCTCCACGAGGACCATCAAGCGGGGCTGAGGTGAGCGATGCTACCATGAATTGCATCTGACCCCATTTCTTGACTCCATCCTTCAACTCTCATGCTCTCTATGACTTTACTATAATCTCTACTTATTATCGCTGTACAATTGCACCTACCGAACCTGTGATGTTTTGTGGGGTTCCCTCTTCCCTTTAACCCCACACTGCTTCATATAGTATTTATACTATAGCCTGACAAACTGACAGACAAGTGGAAGGAGTTACTAATTCAATAAAATATTTTCTAAAGTACAAAATAAGTAAAGTATTTCTAAATTATTAATTATGCTATTTTACGGAATATGATGATTTTAAAGTGGAGACAAAATTTTTTTAATATATATTTTTCCTATTCCTGCTACCCACTCTACCACACGTTCTGTTAGTGTCTAAGCAGATCAAAATAGTTGCAGTAGACTTCCCCGACTTTGCTTGATCTTCGCCTGGAGCAGGACAAAGTTCTGTATGGTCTGGTTTCTATTATCTCTACAAAGATGTGATGCTCTCTCTGCCAGGATAGCCTTTTCCCACACCCTCTTCAAGGCAGGAGTATCTGCCCAGCTTTCAGCTCAAATGGGAGTCACATTCGCTGGTTACCTGCTGCTCACAGGCCATCTTGTAGTTCACCTTCACCAAATTCAGAGTTTTTAGGGTGCCATTGCCAGGTAAGTGTTGGGCTGCTATGCGCTAGCTAGGTCAGCAGTTCAAACCCACCAGTGGCTCTGTAACAGGAACATAAGGCTGCCTTCTCCCGTAAACAGTTACAAGTCTGAAAATCTTATGGAGCCATTCTCCTGTCTCCTATAGGGTCATTAGGAGTCCGAACCAACAAGGTAGCAGTGGGGTGTGAGATGAGTTTCTGATTACACAATTATTCATATGATTGTTTCCCTAGCACTTAACACAGTGTCTAGCTCCCATGAATATTCAGTATATATGTTCAGCTTGCCCACACCAAGTAATGAATATATGAAAAGTGGAGTCTTATAAATTTGCCTTCTGATTTGTGGCATTATGCTTTTACTGAAAAATATTTCAATTATTGTTCATTTTACCTGTCAGGATAATGTCTTGATTTACTCATATTCTTTTCTCCATTCTTATTCCAAAATAGAAACTTGTTCATTTCCATGCAACAAAGTTCTATACATATCATGGTTAGAAAAACAGACTGTGGGGCAGGATGCCTGTGCTCACAGCCCTCCTTCCCTGGTCCTGTATGTAGCCTAGCACCCGGTATTTAAAATATCTCCACATGTCTCAATTTCCTCACCTTTCATTGGTGTATGATTGTATGAAAGCATTATGCACATTTTGTATGAAAGTGTTTGGCACAACATAGTGCTCTATTAACAATGTGTTATTTTAACTTTAAGCAATATAAATAATAAGTTTCTGTTTTTAATCTCTACTATACCAAACCTTTTGTCATCAAATTGATTCCAACCCATGGAGACTCACCTGTGCCAGGTGAATTGTGCGCCATAGGGTTTTTCAATGACCAGACCTTTCTTCTAAGGTGCCTTTGGAAAGTCGGCTTACGTTGCCAACCTCTCCATTAGAAGCTGAGCAAGTTAACTGCTTGCACCACCCAGGGCATCCAGTCTCCTCTATAAATTGATTGTCATCAGCTCAATTCCAACTGACAGCGACCCTCTAGGACAAAGTAGAACTCTCCCATGGTAGTTCCAGGTCTGTGACCTTCCTGATCTGCTAACCTTCCAGTTGGCAGCTGAGCATGTACCCACTGGGCCACAAGGGCTTCCTAATCTCTGCTATAAGAAACCATACATCTATTTTTAAAGTATTTAGTTCTCTTTCTCTTTCCTTCCAGCAGTTGGTGTTGTTAGGTCCTGACTCATAGCAACCCTGCGCACAACAAAGCACTACTCAATCCTGTATCGTTCTCAGAACCATCGATCTGTTTAGCTCCTTATGTCACTGCGTCCGGCCATCTCACTGAGGGGCCTCTTCCCTGTGGGGCCCTCAACTCTACCAAGCTGGATAAAAAGTAGAAAGCCTCAGGCTTGGCGTCTTTGTCCAGGAACCGATCCCTCCTGATCCCATGTCTGAAGTGGGTGCGATGAAGTCTCTCTATTCTTACTAGCAAGGAGGATTCTGACTGCACTTCTTCCAACACAGATTTGTTTGTTCTCCTGACAGCCCATGATATGTTTAATGTGGTTTTCCAACATCATGATTCAGAGGCAACAAATCTTCCTTA